GTAGGAAATATATTTTCCAACAATGAATACGCAACTCAAAATAAATTCTAAGCTCTTATAAAATACAGCATCTAGAGTTCTTAAGATGATGTTAAGATTAGTTTGAATGGACTGACCTCTTGTGGGTAAGGCCTGCTCCCAGGGTATGCAAATTGTCCAGATATTAAAGAGGATGGCCGCAAACAGGAACCACTTAAGGCCGCTGCGTCGCTGCTTAATGGAATAGTTGTGATAGAGTTCGTTGAGTACGTGTTGGGGCAGGATGACCACACCGCCGCCGGTAATGCCCACGCCTCCAGCGACGACATCGCCCTCATTTGGCGGGCGACGTCGTGTTGGTGTCCTTTGCCGTTTGGTTTTGCTTGGTGTGGATGCTGCCGTTGTTTGGCCATTCTCAAGATTTGATGCCTTCTCTTCTGGCATGTTGCGAGGTCTACTGTTGCACTGTTGCAGTTTTCGTTGGTCGGCACTTGTTATGGTTTTTATAATTGAAGTCGGGCCATTTCCGTTAGCCGTCTTATCTTTACTTAGTTATGCAAGGAGTGCGATTGGGGAGCTGGAGCTGGAGCTGCGAGGACCCGTTGGCAAATAGAATAATATAAAACACAAACTCAAATACGAAACTTGCACACAAAACACAAACGTTAACGGTAAATTTGAGGCTTAACATTGTCGATTGCCTCGTGGCGTCCCCTCTCTCCCTCTCACACTCTCGCTCTCTAAATATAATTTTGTATGTGTATGTAGTTGTGTTTGTATTTATGTGTGAGAGAGCGCCAAGGCGGAAGCGTCCTTGTACGAGAGCCATGAGCGTGGCCCTGTGTGCCAGTGCCGTTGCCTGTGTGTTAGTGCGCTCGTGTGCCTGCCTTAAGCAGAAAGTTTCTAACCGTGGTACTGTGTATTCGAAACAATTAATTAACTAATCGAATCTGAATTACTTCTAAATAATTTTAAATATTTATAAATTTTAATGAAAGTACTTTATGTATAATTTACTGTGTTCAGAGTCATATCAATTGAAATTCCTATACTTTCACTATCATATCAACTGCAAATACAGTATTTAAGCCTGCTAGATGTTTAAAAAATCGATGAGTTTGTTTTATCTAATCTTTGGTTAAAAAAGTTAATAGATATAGAAAATACTGCACAATAAACTTTTTCTATTGATTGCGCTAAGAATATAAATCAGATAAGTACAATTTCATAATATTTATTTACTAACGGAAATTACATTATAAACGTCCTCCAAAGACTATTCGAATTTATATCTTATCATGCTATGAGCATTTGAATGAAACAATTATTATATTTAAAAGTATTAATTGGATTGATTTATTTTGCTTTAAACAGCGCTACCAATCACAAATATAAATATTATTGGCATGTTTTTTCTTATCGTAAGATTAGATAGAAAAACTTTTTGAGAAAAGGAAGAGATATTAAAACATATTAATTAATATTACTTCCGCTCTTTTATATTCTACATTTGGTTTCTTGAGCCAACGTGAATTTTTTGCTTTTAATTTTCGGCCGAATTTAAATTGAGTTATCAAATTTTCAGGCATAGCGCTTAATAATCGTTTGCATAAATTATGATAATTTTTTCGGCCACATTTTACCCACACACACCACAGTGCACATTATACTGCCCCGACTCCCTCTCTCGCACGCACACAAGTAGCGCTACTCAGTGTGTCTCACTTTGTTCGACTGTCACGCGCGCCTTCTCTCGCTCTCCCTCTCTCTTTTCAGCTACCTGGCCGACATGCTATTTCCTCTTCAGTTGGTTGGCGTATCCTTATTGCCGAATTCGTTGCTTCTTTTCTTGGCATACAAAAATCCTTTACTTCTAGCTATGCTCGTGGATATACGTATATATAAGTAAATATCTATATCGGTATACTTGTGTGTGTTTATCTATGTGTGTTTAAGGCTGATTTGCTCAAGGTTCGTTTTAATGCGTTGTGATTTTGTTTGTGTGTGTGTGTTTCCCTTTGTGTTTATGCGTGTATGCATATATATATGTGTGTGTGTACACTATGCATTTACAGCCGATTTCGGATCTAATTTTAATTTAAATAAACAACGGCTCGCGCAAAAAACTAGGCAGCTTATTTTACAGTTTACAGTTTTTCTGCCTGGCATTCTTTTTTATGGAGGCTGCGATAACGGTTTAAGCATGTACAGAAAATCCTGCCTGCTGCAGACTTTTTTACAATTTTTACATGAATAGAATATATCATGTCACACGCGTTAATTGAATTAACCTTTTTTTCAACTGCTTCGTTGTGGATTTTCTATCTTTTTTTAACTGCTGCTCTGGCTGCTGCTGCTGCTGCGGCTGCGGCTGCTGCTGCTGCGGACCAATTTTTTGTCGCAAGCGTCGCGCGAGCTAATTTCTGCGAACTAAACTAAGACGCACGATAAACTTGACTGATTGTTAAGTGAAAATTTTTGACAGTCAACAGCCCAACAGCTCAACAGAAGCAGTAGCAGCAGCAGCAGCAAGGACTTTCTATATAAGCGCCAAACTTTAACGGTCTCTCTTCTGCTCTCTTTAACGTAAGCTGCTCTCGCGCTGCGAGCGAGAGAGCTTTTTCTCTCAAGCACTGTGGCGCATGTCTTCGAGAGCGCATTGCAACTGATAACAGTACAGCTGTGCAGCTTGATAACGGAACTGTGCATTTGTCGTAGCGAGTGCATGTGTGTGTAACAGGACATCACACTCGCACTTAAGCTTGATTACTCGAATTGCCGCAGGCTCATAAAATTAATTATTAAGAAAAATGTTACTAAAATGGCTATCAACTGTGACAGTGACAGAGACAGCAGCAGAGACGTCTACAGCGGCGTCGCCGCCGACTACAAAAACAGCACCTGGCCTTGGGCACGCCACAGGATGCAGCTGTGGCTGCCAGAATTCAAAATGTAATGCATGTTAAAGAGCAATATGTTGAATGGGATACAGATGATACTTTCAATGGGATGAATATCTTCAAATTAGATTTGAAGCAAATCAACAAAACTCGAACAAATTCTATTATATAATACTACAAATACATATAAAAGAGTAGTTATTTTGTTATATAAACAGTAGTATTTAATAGTTGTGGTATCGAATACATGAATATTTTTGGTGATACTTGAAAATTGTACACTGAGCAGCAATGAAAACTACCCACTGTGCAAATACAAAGGTAGACCACACACACATACATTTATATAAATATAGCAGAAAATGTACATGCATGCAAATGAACGATGTATGTATGCGTATGTGTGTAAATGCTACATGCCTATCAAATTTTTAACGGGACATGAGGGCCATAAGCAAATGATGAAAAGTTTATTAAAAAATACAGCAAGAATTATTTTTCCATTTTATAAGAGCAAATTTTTATAAGAGATGAAATTGTTTTAAATTAATATAAACATGTATTTATTATGGATATATATGTATGTATATGCATTTACTCATGTATATAGATGCATGTACTGAGACCTTCCACTGCAGTGCAGCTGGAAACCCCATGTAAAAACGCGCGCATTCAAAGCAGTAATAGCAGCAGCAGCACCAACAACAAATCAACAAATGCGACACCAGGTAATAAAACAGGGCAAGCAGCTGGCTGTTCTTTGCAAGGGAACAATATTAAGCCAGGACGTGCACAATGGCACGTGATGCCGCTTAATCCATCTGTCTCGACTGTGCCGCTGCTTATTACCTGCCTACCCGTGAATCTCGACTGCTGCAATTTCCGCTTATTTTCAAAACTCGAACAAATCGAACATCACTTTGATTGATTGCTTTGTATTTCCATTTGGCGGGCTAACGTGTATCTGTACTAGTGAATACAACGTACTATTCAATATGGTTATCGATAGCTTTTACTTTTCGCCGCATTTAACATAACTAACTAGGATTGGGGTACTCTTGCTTTAAATTGATGTGCGTATATAACTTATAATAAAATAATGTACAATACATGCTACGAACAAAAAACTAGTCATTGCATTATATGGCTTATGTTTTCTTAAGGAAGCCTCCAGTTTTCTTTCAAATTTCTTTAATAATTATTTAATATTTCGCCTCTACAGTGAAAGTAATTTGGTGGATACATCTGTCTATATACATGCAGAACTGTACGGCAGCTGGGATGAAATAGGTCCTCGGAAAAGAGCAGATGTTCTCGTAATCCTTTTCTCATGGAAGCCGAACACAAATTGTTGCTCACCTTTTGTAGCTATTAAACTAAAACCTAAACTAAATGAAATGCTTATACTACATATAGACAGAGGGAGCAAAGAAAAATCATTATATTTGACATATTTCTTATACATATCGGTACTAATAAAACAGAAAACGGTTAGGCCATCTGCTTCGGAAAATTCCAGAAAATGGAATCCTAAACGCTTAAAATATAATCCTATCAAAAAGAATATTTAAAATCTTTTCACAGTGAAAAAGTTATAAGCACTAAAATTTAATTTTATCTGAACTGTGCTTTTAATAGTTATGATATGAAATATCGTAGCTTACACAGCTATCGATAAGACATATATTTCTGCTTTTATTGAAAGGTAAAAGTATTTTCTCTCTCTCTTACATACAATGTTTTTAAAGGTTATTGCGCTCGCACTATTCACCACAGTGTAGCGCGACGCCATAGTCCCATATAACAGTGCCATTTTGAGTTTAACATTATGCTTTCACTGAACACACTAATCCCAAAATGATATATCGCTAAAAATGAATTTAAACCAGTACGGGCTTCAATTTAAGCAGAGTTTATTTAAATTTAGTTTGTATAAATTAGTATTCACCAATTTCATACAAATAAATATTTTAAACGGCTTTATAAATTTAACAAAGCTTAATCTAGGGAAAATATTTTGCAGCAAATATATCGATATCTGATTTGGTTCTGGAAATCATCGATGTCAATGTTAAAATACCTAGTGTATATAAAGTTACCTCAGTTTCTGTCTCTGTCTCATTCGGCGTTTTTCTGCGTAACTGTGTGGACGTTATTCTGAACGGCAACCAAAAACCCAGCAGGCATTCAACTTTATAAGCAGCAGAGCTACCTGAAAAAAGTGGTCAAGCAAGAGTAATTGCACAAATTTATAAAATTTGCAAATCTTGTTGAAACTACGTGTTTTGGTTTTAAGTATTAAAAAAGTCGTGTTTACGTACGCGTGCTACTTGCAAAAACTAAAACTAAACACTTTTCGCGCTTCTCTTTGAAAAGTAATTCTTTAAAAGTTAAAATGGCTGATGTGGCTGAGAAAAAGAAGTGAGTAATTTATTTGGTTTTGTGTGTACATGTGTGTGCTTTAACCTATGTCGAATGTGTGTGCGTTGAATATGTTTAAACAATATATATAGCGGCAATTGCAGCTAATTTCGCAAGTGGTGTACATCATTTTCTTCCAACGGTTTGGAAAAAATTTCTTTTTGAATTTTGTGTCTATCTACGTAAAATGCTTGAACAATATATAGAGTTGTCTCGCTTACACCAAAGCTGCCCAAACGTGCGCGCAAAAAACGACGCCGTTGAAATTGGCGCGGCGTCATGACGCTTTCTCGCTCACACTCCGGCCGGCAAACAACGACGGCAGCGGCAGCGACTTCGTCAGCATGCTTGTTGTTGGGCATGTTCGTGGTGGCGGTTGGTGAAGGCAAAGAAGTAATATATTGAGCGTACGTGTGTGTGATGTGTGCAAAGCGGAGTGCGCAAATAAGTATGCATGTATGTATGTATATTTGTGCGAGCGTGTGAGCACTGCATCAGTGTGTAGCATTCAAGTTGCCGCTCTTTTTTGTGCCGTCTGAGTTTCAGCTGTCGTTTTGTCTGTCTCGTCTGTTTGCTTTTGCTGCTGTCGTCTGGCCATTAATTTTTGTCAGTTTTGTCTTGCGCATTTTTCGTTTAAAGCTTAAAGCTTGGCAATGTTGGCCGCTTGCCTTTTTCTTTCCGCTCTTGTCGCTCATTTTTGTGCTAATAAGCTGCTCAAATCAAATTCTGTTTTCAGGTATATTTTGTCATTGCCGAAAATAAACGCACTGCCGGTTGGCCTTATTGTCTACGTTTCGCTCTTTGCGTTTTGTTTTAACTGCTCTTGCGACGCAGTTAAAGATAACCGTTAGAAACCTTTTGTCTGTTGTCTGAGGTTGTGTTGGTTGCTTACCATGGTTGGGGGAGCTGGGATATTGTCGTATAGGTGTTTGTGTAAGTGTATATGCATGTATTTTGACCGTTATTTTTGCCGCTTTGCCTTAGAATGCAATTCTTTAAGCGTGCGCTTATTCGCTTGCTCTAGGTTTGCTGTTTCGCTTGTGTAAGTGACGCGCGCGCACTGCGGCTCAGAGAAGGTATGTGCGAGGGAGATGTACGTAGTGTTGAAAACATAAAAACCAGTTTTTTTTGTCTTTGCTCTTTGCCTTTGCTCTTCACTCTTTACATTTTATGCTATGTACACCTATTATCCCACTGGTGTATAAAGGAAAAAGCACAATTTTTTATATGGAAGCGCATGCCGCTCACCTTTTTTCGTTTACTTTTGCGTCGCAGTTTCCACGAGTTGTTGCTCCCATTTATCATTTGAGGCGGCAGATGCTTTTAACAATGTGATTGTGTGTATGTCTGTGCGTCTGGTTCTACTTCTACTGGGGGTGGTTGTAGCCAACGCGGAAGCGACGCCGGCTGCGGAGTTAACGGCATTTGCCGGTCTTTTGTGTTCTTGAATTTTGTTCTCGTTTTTCATACAATTGCGAAATGTTGGACAAATTTTTTAGTGTAAAATTTTCTAACTAATGTTTTTGTTTTATTTTTATTTTTTTGTTTTGCTTATCACAGCGATACCCCCGTGGTTGAGAAAGTTGCCGCTGAGGAGGTTGATGCTGTAAAGAAGGATGCCGTTGTTGCCGATGAAGCAGCAGCAGAGACACCGACCACCACAGAGAACGGTGCCGGCGAGGAGTCGAGCAGCAGCGCCGACGGCGCTAAGGAGAATGGTGCTGAGGCGAGCGCCGAAGCTGCACCCGCTGCCGACGCTGTCGATGGCGAGAAGACCGAAGCAACCGCCGCAGCACCAGCCGATGAGAAGAAGGAGGAGGAGGCTGACGAGAAGACAACAGCTGAGGCCAAGCCAAGCAGTGAGGCAGCAGCAGCCGTTGAGAATGGCGCCGACGATGCAGAAGCAGCAAACGGTGATTCAAAAGGTAAACGCAAAAGCAAACATAACCTCAAAAGTAGAGGATTAACTTTTGTCCCATTTTAGATGCGCCCGCCGCTGAAGCTGTAAAGCGAAAGGTCGATGAGGCCACCGCTAAAGCAGATGAAGTCGTTGCCACGCCGGAGAAGAAGGCGAAGCTGGACGAAGCCAGCTCAAAGGATGAAGTTCAAAATGGTGCCGAAGCCAGCGAGGTAGCTGCCTAAAGTCCTGGCTAACTGCATCGTATCGCCCGCTCAGCCAGCAGCACAGTAATACATTTAAATTTACTAACACACAAACAAATCACACACAAAATGCGCGCACGCACTCATGCACAAACACACACACACGCACACAAACACTGACATTAGTAAGTGTGTGTGTGTGTGGGTGTGCATGTGTGTGCTGGCGTCTCTAATAACAATCCTGTAAAAAGGGAGCGTGTAGTCTTAAAATGTACCGATTCTCTCTGACTTTACTAACAAAAAAAAAGAAACAAAACAAAAAAAACAAGCAACAAACACAACAAGAAAAAATCCATTATCATTTAAAATTTACTTAAACAAAAACAAAAACTTAACTTTAAAGAAAAAAGTATATATATATAAATACAAAAAAGAAACAATTAAGATGCGTTTTAAGCAGACAAGCAAAACAAAAAAGAGTTGTACACAAGGAAAGCATCAAATTTAATAATTATATAATAAAAAGAAAACGAAACAAAAACTATACAAAAAACAACTTGCAAGTCTTGTAAAAGTAAACGAAAACAAATTTAACATTACGCATTTGTCATTTTTAAGATAATTTCTTTTTTAATTTTATGTATGATCCTATATTATATATGAATATTTATATTAAAAGAAAACCAAGCTCTATGTTTAAAACTCGAAAAAGAAATCCTAAAGAAGAAGCAACACATAACATAAAGCTGCCCCTTCCAAGCTCCTTCCTCACTTGAACGATCTATAAATAGAATTGAGAAATCATTTAATGAAATATGCATACGTATATGAAAGATATATCAAGTTTTTTATGTAGCAATGAAATCAACAGCGCCGACTCGCCAAACTTAAGGAAATTAAATTATTTTTAACAAGCTTAATGTACAACCATTTTTTTGTATTTTTTTTATTTATTATCTTACTGTGTAACTTAACTTGGCTAAGTCTTCAAGCGTTTCTAATTTTGTTGTTTGCATTATAAGAGCCTAATTTTGTGTAAAGAGCGTTATGTAGATGTATGTGTGTGAGTGTTGGTGGTTTGTTATTTAAATAGGTTCCTCCCCCTCACTCCTATTCAGCTCTCTCTCTCTATCACACACACTCCATAAACTTTGAGTAATTGTTTAGAGGCAACAGAAGAGCAACAAAAAAATAGAACAAACAGACCAAACCATAGGCAATAACGCATGCAAAACAGAAAGGAAAATGAAATAAAAGGTAGGCGCAGAACACGTAATTAAAATTAGAGCAGTGTATGTGAAAGAAATGTCAAAATTGAAAAAACTTTAAAGTAGAGAACAGCCAAGTTAAGCAACAACAACCTGCAGAATATGGCTAACAAAGCGTAGCCAGAACCAGAGAAAAAAATGATATAAAACCACAAATAAAAAACAACATTCGAGAACATTCAAAAATAAATGGAAGAACAAAAGAAATACAAAAACAAAAACCAAGTTAATTATTCTGTCTACTCTTTGGCTGGGTTTTGGGGGATTTGCACCTTTCTAGAAACTTCCTAGAACTCGCTCGCATTGTATCAGTGTGAGCTCGTGTACGTGTATTTGTGTTTGCATACACTCATGCATGTTTGTATATGAATGCATGTGTGCTTGAGGGGACGCGACTGTACACCAATAGACATGGCTTATCAGCAGCAACCTTTTTGGCATTAAAATGCGTCGCAAAAAGCTCCAATGACAAATTAGCATATTAATTTATGAGTCATGTTTATATATATGCATGCATTTGCATTTAAAATTCTAATCTAAAACCAATCTTTACATTAAAAAAGCTCAATAGAAATATAATATCGGATATAGTAATTGCACAAAAATAAATATGATCGCATCCGTGCGAGTGAGTCATATTTAAAGTACATTTGAAAAGCGTCTGCAAGAGCTTTCAGCGTTGAAAGCTTTTCCAGCGGTAAGCTAGAATTTTTTGAGCTTTCAGCGAAAGCTGCCATCGTGTAGAGCATTGTGCTGACCATGTAAACCGAAAGCTTTTTGGCGAGTGTTGCTCAAAAAGTAGTGGGCTTTTCTGTTAATTCTGCATATTAAGTTACATATGGATTGTACAGCCCTCGTGTAACAATAATTTTCCACTGTGTGCGTGCCAATTGGCATGAATTTTACAAAACTCCCAATGGAGCTTTGAAGAATATATACAAACATATTTATTTAAAACGCAATTGATTGGCTTTGACCCAAAAAAACAGACTGTGTCCAAACGTAAGCAAACTAAACTAAAACTAGTTCTATTTATTATTGGTTCAAAATTTTACATTTATAAAAACTGTAAGATTGTATTTAAATATAACAATATTTTTAGAATTCCAGTTACAAACTGCTATAGCAGTCAGCATTGAGTCGCTAGTGAGTTTGCGAAATATGAACAATGACAGATTGGTAGTATAGCGAGAATCACAATTCTAGCCTGCTGCTGTTCATTTTAAAAAGCTCGTTAGCAGAACGCTATGAAACTCATCAGTTCGAAATGCAAAGGCGAGAGAGCTGACACGCAGCGCTTAACCAAGTGATAAGATAAAGAAGAGTAGGCGAAAATCGCACTGTCCTCTTTAACACTCTGCAACAACTCAAAGCTTCGATCGCAGTACCAATTGAATCGTGCGAGCGAGTGGATGTTAAAGCGGAAAACAGTGCAAAGTGGAAACCGTTAATCAAACAGAAACAGTCAACATCGCGACTAGTTTTTTCCTACTATTATTGCAATTATATTTAGCTAACAGTGACGTCGCAGTTTATAGTGTATGTGAATAGTATCTGTAATTGTTGTTGTCAACTGAAAGTGTAAATGAGAAACGTATAAGAAAAAATTAGAAAAAAACACAGGCAAGCACAGACACAAAAACAAGCACACACACATTGCTGCTACGTACCTTTTTGGACATCGTGTCGTGTGGAAGGCAGAAAGAGAGGAAGAGTGTATGCACCAACAGCCCACAAGATGTCCAACAATTTGCAAACGGTAAGAGAATGCAGAATGCAGAGAATGCTTTATAACCCGCATTATAGTTGTGTTCGCTCTTGGTAGCAGCTTCTCAGTATTTTTGTTGTTGCTGCAAATTGTACGTAATTTGCGAACATTGACCGATACACCGTTCGTGTGTCATCACGAAATCTTTGGCGGTTTAAGGCCCTTGTAAAACGCACAAAGAAGTCCATTAACTTTGTTAACACGTTTGCCACCTACAAGTTAAACAACATAAAAATAATGTTTTTTTTTTATGAATTGAGTTTTTTGTTTGACATCGGCGCCAGTGCTGTAGTAGATTGATGTTCGGAATAACTAATTAACCAATTCGTTTCTGTTTTGTTAACAATTTGTTGGTACTAAACATATATGTGTCAAGTACCTAACTAATCTAGAGTATTTAAATAAATTATTATTGCGTTCTGACATGGCATTGATGTAAATCTCAATGAACTGATAAGCTTAATCAAATTTATTTTTATTGAAGGTGTTGCTCTCTTATCGGAAAGAGTATTTCAGTGCCGATCTGTACGTCATTTCAAGGCTCTTCCGCTGTGGCTTTTGATTTCTTTTTTTCTTTATGGTGATTCCACGCGTCTAGCTTATTCCTTGCTGGGCTTATCGCACTGTTATACGTTGTTGTTATACATTGTTGTTATACATTGTTATTATACAGTGTTATACATTATAGTCGCTTGCTCTCTTTACAGTACAACTGGCAGCATGTTCCTGATAAGCATGTTTCTATTCGTATTGTTGTTGTTTCTTCTTCTTTTCTTTTCCTATAATAAGTGTAATTTTCTACTTTCTACAACTGTTGCCATATTTCGTTGTTATATTTATTTTGGGGTTAAAGCTCGTGTCGTTCTCTCTTGTCGCAATGATTGCTCTGCGAACGGGCATGCCGTGCAGGCTTAGCAACACGCTGACACGCATTATCTGCCCGCCTGATTCTAACGGCTGGAGTCACCAGAGTCGGCGCAACAGGTCACGTGCCGTCGCTGCTGCGTCGCAGTTGCGCAGCGAATTGCAGACGCACAGCTGTAGTCAGGTAATTGCTTTAAGCCAATTATTATCTACTAGAACACACTTACACACATGCATATATACAATATGTGATTTCCCCAATCTGTTATTGTTGTTGTTAGTTTTCATTGGAAGTAACTTTTGTGAATAATTTACTATCGCGCAATGAATCAGCTTGCAAAACTACTATGTGGGAAAAAACCTTGTAGTCTGAATAAATTAAATTTTAAAAATTAATTAATATTAATTTGTGTGCATTAAATATATATTTATAAGCACTGACAACTAATGTTTTGGCTTAGACAATACCAAAGTAAATTAAAAATATTTTAGAAGATTCGAATTTGGACAGCTAATTTATTGCTAACTGCAATAGCTAATACTAATATATAGTTCTTCTCTTGAAAAGTTTTGGTTGATCACACCTCTTAAAAATATGGAGCAAAGATTCTTTATCAAATATTTGGCCAAAAACAACACACTAATGTTGTCATATATATAGAAGTATTTTCATAAAATATAAAATGTTATATATATATATTTTATTTTTTATCAATTTAAATTCCACAATTAATTAAGTGTGTCGTTAGCACAATACACTTGAAGAAAAGTCTATAGTCTAATAATATGCTATAAATTAGATAAGTTATCATGTATATTAAAAAAATTTGCTTATCGAATTTGTATTTCATTTAATAATATTTACATACCCATCGATAGGCATTTGGCATATATATGTATACATTTATATATACTTTATATATATATATATATATATTTATATATATATATATATATATATATATATATATATATTTAGGTGAGATATCGCTTACTAATTACTTACTAGACTAATTATTAGTCACGATTTTTTCCATAAACCATTAAAATTTGTGTTTAGTTTGTAGAATTTAAAATGATTAGCAAATGATAGTTATTTCAGTTTTTGGCTTGTTTTTCTTAAATTTAATAGGGGCTTGCTTGTATAACATGCGATTCAAATCTTATCTCTAGTTTCGTGTTGTGCAACACGAACTTTCAGCTTATCATTGGCAAAAAAAGAAAGAAATTTCGTCTGCATTTTTCGGGGAAGTTAACAATTAATACTGACCTACATATGAGCATTTTGATTAGAAGAATATGAAATGTGCATATTCAGTTGGGACTAAAACACAAAACAAAAAAAAATCGAAAGAAATTGAAGTTTATAACAGTTAAAATAATTCCTCTGCTTAAAAAACTTTTGGTATTAGTTTTTAAGACTAAAAGCAAGGAATCCTTAAGATATTCGAAATTAAGTTTTTGTCTTATTATGTCATCCATAGGCTCATGCTGAAGAGCTTTAATGAGCTTTTCAGGTTAAAGCTGTAGTTAGGTAGTAACTCAAATGTTTAAATAGGGTATTGAACAGTCAGTATGGAACGGTAGCTGACTATAATGTTACAATGTAGTTTTTCCATTAAAAGTCTGTTCCATATATAATCTTCAGCTGCGCACTTCAAACATTTGATTTTGGCACAGGAAAATTATAATCAAAAATAGTTCTGCGATTAAATATTTGCAAGGCGAGGGCGCTATATAAAATAGTTAATGATAAGTTTCAATGGAGCTGATAAGGCCCGGAAACGACTCTGTGAAACAGCCTTATGACAATGCAATGTTTCGTTCGCTTTAGTTTTTATTGTTAATTTTATAGTTCTTACTAAAGTAAAGATCTATAAAATACTCTTCACGAGCTTATCAGTTGAAACATAAGCCTTCTATATATAGCATGTATATAGTATATAAATACATATTTGTATGTTCTGGCCATTGTTTGTTTAGCTCTGATTGTTTTACACATCATATATAAAATAATTACTTCATCTGTCTCATGTCTGTCATGTTCACAATATATATATATTTATTATGTTGTTGTTCGTCTTGATAAGAAACAGTGCGTAAATGCGCTGATTGCGTGGAAAATTCCACAACATTTACATTGTGCTCATTAAATTTACATGTGTGAGAGTTGGTGAAAGTTGTCTGAATTTTGATGCAACGATGGATTAATCTAGTTTTTATATTAATATTTTTACATTAGGATATTAAATTGAAGATAGATGAAAAGTAGCTAAAAATATATTTTAAATATATCTAAAAAAAATATATTATTTATTCTTAAAAATTTTAAGTTTTTATTTCATATATATTAATTTTTATTTATATATTAAGGATATATAGAAATATATATACCATATAAATATAGTTTTTTTATACAATATATTTGATCGTAAATAAGTTATACTTATTTTTTTAGTAAACCATAATTAAAAAGTTTTATATAAAATTAAAAACTAAATAAATATTTAAAAAAAATAATTTAAAAGTGTTTTTAGGAGCAAAAAATCCCATAGAAAGGTAAACAAAGAGAGACCGCTTTAAGAGAGGGTAGAAAATGTCAGTGTATCAATGCAGAGAGAGTGACATTCAGAGAGGAAGAGTGTGACGTCGAGAGAGAGAGAGAAACTTGAGCTAATCCTGAAGGGTTGCAGTTCTTCGTGCACTTTAAAGCAAACGAAAAATCTAATAAATAATTGCATACCTGCTGCATATATATTTAATCCAACTGGAAGGTTTTCTTCGCGAGTATATATATATATATATATATAATATATGTATATAAAATATAGAAGATATTCGCTTTATTATGCAATACAAATTTATTGATATTAAAGAGGAGAGAAAGAAAGAGAATGTAACAAAGTTAGGAGAAGTTGGAATTCATTAATAACTTATATATTATAAAAATGTTATATATATAAGAGAAAAATTACTAATATGTATATATAGTTTATAGATCTAGTCTTCTCACATAATATAGATACATATATGCACACTTTATGCTATTCATTAGTTAAAATGTAAATAGTTGTCCAAACTATAAAAGAGGTCAACGAACGTTCAAGAAAAACATATATCAAGGCCTTCGTTGTAAGCTTTCAACAATATTTACAAGTACCTGAAAATATAATCTTATCTGAAATAGGTGCTAGGCTAGAATTAATTGCCATTAAACCAGTTTAAAATAGTTTTTCTTTTCTACCTGTCGGCCAGAAATCGAACATCTGCTGAAAATCACAGATGGCTAAGCGATTGACGTATTTTATAGTTACGTTCGTGGTTTCGGTTCTAGGTAAATATACGCTTTAGCCCTAGCAACCCCAAGGCAAGGTGGTTGGTGGTGCCGCAACCACCAACTACAGAGAGAGAGAGAGAGTAAGCTAGCGAGAGAGAGTGAGATGAGGAGAGCGAATGGGCATCTCAGGGCTACGATGAGTCAGTTTTGCTTTAAGGTGTTTCAGTTTATTATTGAACGCTCAGCTGTGAGGAACAAAACGACTTAATACGGAACAACATTGAAGACTTGCGTGCATACGAAATTGTTAAATCAGTTTTTTATATAATTAGATTTACACTCATTTACACATATATATATATAGATATATAGTTGACATTTTATCGAACTTTCTTGGTAAACGGAATAATCGTAGTATGAGACAACGTAAAGGTTGCAACAAACATAAAACTCGTCGTCAAAAGCAGCAGAAAATTCCAGAAATTGATCAAAATTGTTGTAAGCGCCCACGTTGTAACTATGAACATATCTGGCAACATTTTCGACGCAATGTAAGCTAACTCTATTCAAGTTAATAGTTACATTTTACAATTGTTTCTCAGTTATATATATTTAATTGTTTTTCTTTTTTTGCACTATTCGAAAGTACCGTTGGTACATATTAGTTAGTATTAATGTAAATATATTATTTAAAAATTTAGAGCACATGCACTTAGGGTTTTTAGAACCATTTGACTTTCATTTAAATTTAAGGTTTTAAATATTTTCTATAAGTAATTTACCTACATTGAGGAGCCTTGGCTTTTTTTGGTAAAATCTGTACCATTTAGGTACATATTTATTAACATGTTATGTTCATGTTAAATATATGTTGCATATGTGCTAACCACATCATAGGTACATGTTATGTATATGTTAGGTACATGTTTGATATAACTTAGGTACATGTTGTGTACATAATTGGTATATGCGTGGTACATGTTAGATACATTATATTTCTGTTAACTACATTTTAGCATTTAGGTACATTTTACCTATGTTAGATACGATTTAGGTACATGTTAGGTATATGTTAGATATACATTGGGTATCTGTTAGCTACATGTTAGATACTCATTGGGCATATGTTAGGTACATGTTAGATACGCATTGGCTACCTGTTAGGTACATGTTAAATATGTTTTTATCACTAAGTTCACATGTTGCATACTGTAAAGCTTCCTGTTAGGTACTTTTTTGTTTAGATATATGTTGCGTATAGTATATGCACCTGAAAGGTATCAGTTTGGTATTTCTTGCTCACATGTTAGGTGTATGATGAGTACATGTTAAATATGTTATAGATACAGGTTAGGTAGATAATAAAATTGGGTATCTGTTAAATATTAACTAAGCTATCAATCTATATCTGTAGCTTATAAATAATATACTAATAAATAATATATTTTAGCTAGACATCACATATATGCTCATTTTGAGTGTGTAGTATATTTGAATTGCATGCCTAGACACTTTTAGCACTCTCGCGACCTTGCACTTGTACTAAAAATTGTACACGAATCTATTTAGAATTTGTTGTTGTTTATTTTTTGTCTTGTGTATATTGCATGCCAATTTTGCTTGTATTAAACACATTGATATGTCTTATTATATTGTATATTATTATTATTATTATTATATGTGTATTTGATGTGTAGTACAAGCAACCCACTTACCCTCCCAAAGCCTCTGCCGGGTACAAGTACTCGCAATTGTTTTGTCAATTCGTAAACGTCAAGAGCTCTCTCTCTCTCTCTGCTTCTGTCTCTGTCTCTTTAACGCATGCTCTCTCTGTTCTCTTCTCTATTGCCATACGCTCTTTCAACCAAGCATAATTTGTTTCTCTCTCTCTTTGGTTTTTGGTACTTTGACGCTCTTGGCACACATCCAAATAGGCCACACTTGAGGAAATTCGCCAAGCGGCTGCCCGCATTTGCCGTGACTATCTAACCGGACGCTGGAAGGTGGTTACCCCAGAGCAGCTGGTAGTTAAGCGCATCAGGTGAGTTTTAATTAATATTTCCATATAATCAATAGAAAGTAATTTAATCTGTGAAATATGTTTTTGCGTTTTAGTGGTGGCCTCTCAAATTTCTTGTATTACGTAAGTCTGCCCGACTTGGATGACTTTGATGAACAGCAGCTGTTGGAGGTGGAGCAGCAGCAGCAACAGCAGCAGCCAGGAAATGTCAACGTCAACCTTGGCAAACACGTCATAGCCGCCTCGACATTTGCTAAGAATAGCAACAACATCAGCAGCAGCAGCGGCAGTAATGACAACAACAACGACATCAAAGATGTGGCGCCGGAGGTAACTAAAAATTTGGCACAATCTGTTATTGTGGGCGTTGCCCCAACAAACAACAAAAGCGATTCCTCAGCAACCGCCCACGCCGATGATGAAGATGATGATGCGGCGTTGAGCGCTAAACAGACAAATAAAAGACGACGCTTCGACAGCGACAGCGGCGATTCGAGTTTGCTGCGACGTCTACAAAGTCCCAAGCAGGAACCCCGTGAGGTAGGTCAAAAAAACAAACACGTTTCCTAATCTTGCATATATGTTAATATTTGATTCGCTCTCAACGAGAATAGGTGCTGCTGCGCATCTATGGCCAAACTCATGGCGATCATGCCTTGGAGACAATGATAACAGAGTCTGTGGTCTTCGCCCTGCTCAGCGAACGTAACTTTGGACCGAAGCTGCATGGCATATTTCCCGGCGGACGCATTGAGCAATATATACCGGTAGGTTGTCGAGGAGAATTGGATGGAGCAATAAAAGTGTAGAATAACAACAGATATGAAATGTATTCTAACATTGTAAAGCATTCGTTATTGTATTTGAGGAACAGTCAGACAGATAGATCGATAGATGTAGCTGTTATCTATATGTAAATACAGATCAAGCAAATGTTTACTTTATGCTCTTGGTGAAATGTTCGTCAAGATAGAGAAATCAATGTGATTGTCAATATGTTACAAATTTATTAATATAATATGTTAAGTAAATGTATAATTTATGCTGTTATAGAAGACTTCTTCTAGAAAGTTTATGTAGATAAACTTTTTAAAGTACTTGTAATGATTTTTGTTTCGTCAAAATAATTATTAAAATGTGATGAATTCTGTATTCTCTTCAAGTAAATATATTATGATTTATGGATATAGGCATATATTGATATAATATAATGATATCATATATTTGTGAAAGCTTGAAATGTTGATTAGTAGAAGAACATCGAAAGTTTGTTCATAATATCATAATAGATAGAGGGAGATTTCTATACATGCATAATAAGCAATTTAATATACTAAAATATATTAGATAATTTGTGTTACAATTTAATTTACTATAGTAAATCTATATAATTGCCTGTTTCATATGAAGCTAGAAAGCCCTGTAAATCCAGTCTTTAGGTGTACCTTTAGAGTAAACAGTTTTATTTAGTTTAGTGCATGTGAATACTGCACAGAACAATAATAAAGAGTGAACGACTACTCAATGCTCCGATACATATGCATGAACGACTACTCAATACCCTGTAATTAAATAATACATGCAAATAATAGTAATATATACTCTATTTCCATTCAACCAGGCACGCACTTTGGCGACCACAGAGCTGGGTGATGCACGCATTTCGATGAAGATCGCTGAGAAAATGGGCGAAATACATAGCTTGAATATACCCATGTCCAAGGAACCGGATTGGATTTGGAACTGCATGGACCGTTGGCTGGCCAGTTTGGATAGCATTGTTAAGGGCAAAATCGACTCGAAGCCCAATTCGACAGTGTTGCAAAAGCAACGAGAACTAATGCGCAGTATTGACTATGTGAAGGAGATAGCCTGGCTAAGATCGGTAATAGATGCCGGCGACTATCCCGTTGTCTTTTGCCACAACGATCTGCAGGAGGGCAATATACTGCTGAGGCAATCAAACAATGGACACGAGCGTACGCCCAGAGCATCGATAAGCAGTCTAAGGTAGCTATATTTCATTGGCATATTATATATATTTGCTAATATATGCTGTAACTCTGATTTAGATCCAATTTCGATGAGACCCTGGGCGAAAGCCTGGATGGCAACAGCAATTTGGACGCGGATGACACGTGAGTGCTCTGTGGCTTAAAAGAAACCCTTGTTGGCCGCTAACCCGTATTTATTTGCCAATTGCTCAATTAGTAATTAATTTGTATATACATATATATTCGATATGCTTGTTAAAACTACCTCAAATTCTAGATGGCCCCGTTGCTGCGGTCGTCAAAATGAAATTTAAATTCGGCATAAGCAAATTACCAAATACATACAGGTTATCCATGCCCTATTATGTGATATCTGTCGTTAACTGAACTAATCGCATTTCTCTCTCTTCAATTATCTACAACGACTACAGTAAGTCGCATAGTGCGTCGCCTTGCCCGGAATTGGACACCACAGATGACTCTGCACTGGACTCCAGCTTTATGTCCGATCATGAGCCGGATCTCATTATCATTGACTTTGAGTATTGCGCCTACAATTATCGTGGCTTCGATTTGGCCAATCATTTTATCGAATGGACATTCGACTATACCAATCCGCAGTTCCCATACTTTCACCACTACAAATATCAATATGCAATGGAACAGCAGCGTCGTGATTTTATCGTCACTTATCTGAAGAAATATCACGACGATGAGCACTACGAGCCCAATGTTGAGGAGCTTGATTTAGTCGATGCTGAAATACGACTGTTCACAATGCTCTCGCATCTCTTCTGGAGCTTGTGGTCTGTGGTAAATGTTACCTCAGCTATTGAGTTTGGCTATTGGGTAAGTTCTTCGTAAATAGGATAGGAAGTAGAATTAGTATTTAAAAGTTAATTAATATTAAAAAATATAATATTTTTCATTAAATATATAGTTAAATTTCGAAATCTTACATGAAATATATTTATATAGTAAGTTTTTATAGTAAATTAAATTGACTCAATAAGTATAAAATATTTAATGAAAAAACGAGGAAAAATAATTATATATTTTATGAAAAATATTTTTAAAATAAAATATTTTTGGAAATGATCTTGGTTTTATATTAGTTTTTAATGGACAATAGACCTATAATATAATTAATATGGGTTAAATATGCAATATTTTGATTTTATTAAATATTAAAATACATAAAATAAAAATGCAATTTGAAAGAAAATTTTAATAGAAATAAATGTTATTTAAATCAATATTAATCTATAAACTTTTAATTATATTTATTAAGATATTTATATATTTATAAGCTTAAAAAATTATTTTTATATTATTATGTAAGAAAATCATAAAATTTATATCTCTTAATTTTTTTTATATATTAAATGTTCCTATATAAATATATACTATAGAATATAACGTGTATATGAAAATATATTTTTAAAGGCCAAAGCTCCATCAAGAAAAAAAAAATAGTTTAGCTCTATATATAAATTTTTTTAAATAATTTTTGTATATTTCTGAATTTTTATTAAATTTCCGACTCATCTTTGGTGTCTCTTGCAGGAATATGGCATTGCGCGCATACTGGAATATCAGCAGTTGAAGGCGGCCTATTTGGCCAAATGAATTTATGGCACTTGAGGATTAACTTTATGCAAAACCATCATCGCACTTAATCGAATCATTAAGCGTACTTAAGTGGCCTTAATATTTAAACAAACACAATAACTAAAACAAATTACTAAAACAAAGAAAAAACAAACACGAAAAAAAGAAAAATGTTTAGTCAGGAATTACATATTTCCAGCTTAGTTAATGCGAGCATTGGTCGACTAGTTGACCATATACTACTATACACTATGAGCTATATGACTAGGAATGAGCAGACTTTACTTGACCGTGGATCTATACTGATATACATGATTTGTGCTGTGCATGGCATGTTTATATATATTTTGTATATAAATATATTTTTTATGATTTAATGCCGAGAAGAAAAGTCAAAATGTAACAATTGCAGCTGTGATTATTACTGCGTGAGTTAGGCAGACAACAATAATTATATTCGCTCATTATGTGAAATTACTAGAAAAGTTTTGATTGAAGTATTAAGACAGCACCCAATATCTAACACTAGCTATTCGCACACACTCTCTTTACTTTTATATACAAACGCACACACACACACACACTCACACACGCACACACACACCTCTAACACTCATAGCAATTTGTTTGAATTTATTTCTCGCACGAATTTTGCTTTTAGCGATTTTACACAGAAATTCTGTTTTCGGTTTCCTGTTAAGTATTATTTTTGTTTTCCATTGCATCGATTGTATTCTGTCAACGTCGATAACACAGAAATAATGAACACTCAGCAAATTACAAATTGGGTTTATTTTTTGTCTTTTGATTGTACCTATCGATATATATATATACATATATGTATTCAGTAAATGAATTTAGTTATATAATATATATGTGTAATTAGTATTTAATGTATTTGCGTCTATTTTTTAATGCAATCAATAAATCAAATATTTAGTTCAAATTTCAAATACAATTTGTATCGCTTTTCTATAAAAAATATATACTTAGAATGTGTATTATAATACTAAAATGTGTTATATATATTCTTGATCAGGGCGGAGGCAGTGCTCTCATAAATCACAAAGGTTGATTTGAAACTTGAAATCTATATTATGGCATGCACGAATACGCAGGATGCTATGTTTTTTTCTCGATAACTTATCTGATGTAGTTATCGATTAAAGTCGATCATTTAGATACGTTTTTAAAGCGTAGCTTGAATACCGAAAATGTTGGAGACGTCAGACGTCAGCTGTGTGTGCTTGCGCTCGATAATTGTGAATTGAATCGATATATTTTAGCAGTGCTTCAGGAAATTGGGTGAGCAATGAGCTATCGTTATGGAATGGTCGGTTGGGTCTAGGAAAGTTAAATGGTTGAAGGCATTAAAGAGTAAAGATTCGGAAATATTGCATCTGTAAACTCAATAAGTTGTAAATGTAGTAATAATTAGGGAACTTCAAAAAATCAACTCAGATTTACCCTACAGCTGCAATGGTAAATTGACGGATGTAAACGAAATTAAAGTCCCTTTAAGGTGTCTTGATTCGACTCTCTTTGTTTCTGTTTAACAATGAAGTTCGATATGCGCGATACAGTAACTTCCTTAGCAGAGGAGAAAAACTTAAATCTAAAACTTTTTTCGAGACGCAGGCGATGCTTCAATACCTCTTGAAGGTCAGGATAATCGCCGGAGGTAAATTGCATAGAGGAGGTTCGACTCTAAATTGGTTTTTTTATAATTGACTAAAATTTAAAATCTGTTTTTTTATTTTTTTTTTGGCGAAAACAAATAAAAAGAGGTGTGAGTTTTCCAGTCGGGAGTATCCGACTAGTGCGGAACTAATATTAACGAAAATTTCGGCTGAGTTCTTAAAACTTAATTTGACATTTATCGTCTTTCGAAGACGCAGAAAAGTTGATTCGTTGCCGAACAATAGATCAGCTTTCATCTATTGCTTTGTATGCTTAGCGATAGCAAGAATATGGAATATCTAAAACTTTAGCTATGGCATGCAGCTCAAAGTATTTGCCAGTCGTGCATACCCGACTAGAGCTGGGTCGCTGTAGGCTACGATGAGGCCGGCAAGTGTCAAGCTTCAAGCCTTGCTGTTAATTTCATTTGCTAAGGATCTGAACCAATTGCGGCCAGTCCTTTGACATTAACTCACAACAATGCAATGAGCTGACGCCAGGAGAGCAGGCGAACACGATGCCGGAATGCTGGCTGCCAAAGCAATGCAGCGCATCTTTAATTAATGCAACAAACACCGAACAACAGAAGGACTATTTAAATGGCAGTCAGATAGACAGACAGACGGACTGACGGACAGACAGATAGACAGAGTGTGTGTCCCTTGTTGCACAATGATTATCTGCATGTCCTTGTGCCATGTTGTGTGTCTTCAGTGCTCTGACCCAATGTCCGCATTGTCTTGCCTTGCGGTTTCGGACTGCACTTGAAATCAATTGGGGGTGTTCGGGTCCGTGCTGGGTTGGGAGCGGCCTTTATGCTCGTCTAATGTAATGTACGCCTCGGCGGGCAAAAGCAATCCAAAGCAATTGTCTGCGGCTGGTGCTGGTGCTGGAGCTGCTGCTGCTGTATGACGAGTGTCCTGCCGGGGACAACTATTGTTTAAATAAGTACTGAAACCACCCGTCCTCTTCAGTTCGCCTGCTGACAGACGGGCGAATACAAAATAGAAAATGGTTTTCGGATTGCGGACTGCGACAAGGCTTCAATATTTCGTCTACAACTGCTGCACTTTGATTTTGATGTTGTTGTTGATGATGATGATGAATTGTTATGCGGTCTTGCAACCTGTTCAAAAACCATGCCCATGTCCAACTGCATGCTCGCCTGCATTTTGACCAAAAACTTAATTAGCATTGAGCCAGGACACGAAATCAAATTAATTAGCAAGCCAAAGTAGCAACAGCAACAGCAGCAGCAGCTCTTACTGCAGCTGATTGGACAGCATTTGTGCCTGTCATAAGTGAATTAGATAAAACGTGATAAGAGCTACAGCTACAGCTCTCGAATTTTCCCTAATGACAGCGAATTAACAACAATACACATGTATTTCTCTAAGTGCATGCCATACAATTCGGAGAAGTATATAATTTGAAAGCTAATGCTTTAATAAAATTAAAGAAATATTTTATAATTTTATAATCATAGTTTTGAATCTACATTTGAATATATTTTTTAGTAAAGAACCTCACTCCAGAGGCATTTTCTTGCTCGCGAAACTGAAGAGGTCAAATTATATAAAATCAAATCTTTAGTTCATAAGACTTGGGACAAATGATTTCAGAATTGAAGTTCGATAACTTTTTTAGTTAATTACTTTGAATAGACAATATATGTGAATATCTTAAAACATTATTGTTATGTCATATCATAGGCAGAACTGTAAAAATATTTCAGGTCTAGCGCCTAAAAGTGCCGAGATCGACGTTATAATACAACGGACGGACGAACAGAAGGACAAACAGAGTGTCGGACGGATAGATGAACGGACGGACGGGAGGAAGTACGTAAGGATGGATGTTGGGGCAAACGTAAGGATGGAAGAACTGATTGAAGGATGGTGGTAAGGATGGACGTAATAATGGACGTAAGGATGGACATAAGGATGGACGTAAAGATGGACAAGGATGGATGCAAGGATAGACCTAAGGATGGACTGAGAGAAGGACGGAAGGATAGATGCAAGGATGGACGTGAGGATGGACTGAAGGAGAAAATTCATTACGTAAAGTCGGACTTAAGGACGGACGTAAGGCCGGACGGAAGGGCGGATGTAAAGACAGACGGCAGCGGGACGTAACGACAGACTTAGGGGCGGACAGGCGATTAGATTAACTCACCTCAGCTCTAATTCCATATATATACATGTGTTGTTAAGGTACTAAATTTGATTGTACAGGTTCTACACTTAATAATAAAAAAAAAATACTAAAAAAGTACTTTCTGATATTTAAATTGTGTTTTTAGTAAAAAAAAAGTATTTTTATGCTATCAAAAATGCCTTGAATATCTCGAGCCTGAATTGTTGGACCATTCCCAGCTTTGGCTAAGGATGCTTCTTAGCTCTTAGTTTGATCCTGTCCCTCAATTACCAAAGAAACAGTTCTGTTTTTTTCAAATTTTATTTACACATTTTTTGTTATTAAATATATAATTTTTATTAATGAAACCCAATCGAATCGCAATTAAACACTTAATGATTTATGAACAGTTGCGCTGAGTGCGACGCAAGTTGTTAAATATTTATTTTAGTTTCAATTTTAGAGTGTTACCATCTACGCACATCCTTCCTTCCTTCCTTCCGCTCCCTCTTTGTGCAATTGTTTTATTGTCGTCTTTTTTTCTTCTCTTGTTTGTTTCTGCGGTCAGTTTTGTGTTAACTTTGCTGCCCGCTCTGTATATAAACTGCTTCTAAATTACTTTGACCAAGTTTTTTTTATTTTTATTTTTTATAGCCATCATCTGAGCTGGCTGAGCAAACCAGCTCTTCCTCTAGCAAGATTTGCACATCCGCTGGCAGAGGACGCAGCGGAAGAGGAAAGCAAAACGAAGGAAAGTGCAAGGAAAATGAAAAACTTTGCCCGGCATTGTTCCTGTCTACGCCTGCAACATGCAACTGTCTGCGTCTATGTCAAGTTTGTGACTGCCTCGAAGCCCACCCAATGCGTACTCTCTTCGATGTGCTCCAGGGTATACCGGGCCCGCCCCAACGGGTCGTCCATTGTCCAATTGCAGCTAAAGTTGATTTATTGTTTGCATTTTTACAACTTTTGTGTCAGTTTCTGTTTGGTTTTTCATTTCGCTTGACTTTGGCATATCTCTCGTTCTCCCCTCACTCAGCTTTGTTTTTGTATTATTGCTGCACATATTGAAATTGTCAACTAGGGGCCATTGGTCGAAGGTCCTTCACTGCAGCTTAAGGCAAAAACAAAGCAAAGTTCTATGACTTTAAAAATGCTAAAATGATTTATTTGTAAACTTTGCTGATGTACTTAGAGCAGTTCCTGTGGGAACAGATGGACGATAAATGATATATGCACATACAAATAATGCAGACTTTAGAATATTATATATAAATGCTTGAAGTATTTTAGCTTTAAATTTAAAATTTTTATTAATAATTAATTTATCTGAATATAAGTTTTTCCAAGCTGGAGTTATTCTAATTACATTTTTAAGCTTTTTTATATTTAAAAGATATATTAACTATATATATAAATTATAAATATATATATATATTTATATAAATATGTGTATATTTCTATATGACTATTGTTTTGGACAACGCTTTCAACTTCTTTAATTAAGTTATCCTTGCAAGTCCTCTCGTGCCATTTACCCAAAAATAATTCTATTTAAATCAAATTCAAATTTATCTGCACATAAAAACTCGAGAGAAATATCTCAATAAACATAATTTCTAGTTAAGATATAAAAATTTG